TTATCTGGATTTTTCTTCGTCGTTGCACGATCAGGTTTTCTAAGACGGTCAAACTGCGAGTTTCTTGGCTGCAGAGCTGCAAAGATCATTTGATCTGTACACGCACAGATCGAGTGGTCAAAGCAGCAGCATTACACGACTGTACATCGCAGATAATTAAGTAAAGATCAGATCGATCCTCCCATAATGACTCAACATCTTTGTGTTGCATTAGACACTTTTACCCTGTCAGTGGAAATATCTACTGATTGACCGACAGCAGTACCATCAGCAGTGGAGCTCCACCCTTTCTTAAAATGAAGCAGCTAACGCAAAATCGTTTTCAGCCTTCTCAGTGAGAATGTGTCAAACGACAATGAAAAGAAAGCAGCATCACATCTGTCCAAACTGCACAATGTAGCGATTCATTTGTGACCAGCTGCTGACGTCACAGACCAGTCTTTTTTGGCTCTGACATACAGCACAGGACTGGAAATGCTTATGTTTTGTACTGGAACAGAGTCTGTGTCACAGCTACTAAAACACTGTCAAACTTTTTATCCACGTTGTTTGGGTCTTACACGCTGACAGCTCAGCTCAGGCTTTGTCAAACTGGATGAGCTGCACCAAAAGCATAAGTAGGACCAAAGGAGAACACAGTATCCAGCTTTGTTTAGCAGAAAAGCACCTCCTCCAAAATCGTAGTGACAGTCTGCGATGTCACTATCATCTGTACTCCTAATTTTAAAGACTCATTGGCTGAATGTGGCTGCAGCCATGTTCGCTTTTATTGAGCCCCAGATTTGATAAAGTGAAGATCTGTTAATGCTAGCAGGGTTGGTTGTAAAGCTGGCTCCAGAGACTGAGCAGGTGAATAAAACGTTAACATGTTGAAAACATCAAAGACAATGTTGCTTTTTTTACAGGTTTGTCAGTAAAATCATGTCTCAGTGAAAAAAGAGAAATAAAGCAGAAGCTCTGTGTGGTAAGCGAAGAGACTCTGATGCTCTTCACTGGAATTCAATTTCCATTTGATGTGTTTTACTACGAGTGTTTCTTGTCGTATCTGGGAGCACGATAAGCCCACAACAGATCCTTCACTTCAGTTTGCTGCTCACGCTCTCTGAAAACATGGAATTCAAAAAATCTGTCTACCGTCACTACTCAGTCATCTCTGTCACCTCCATTTGAACCAGATATCTACTCTTTCATCTCATTTCAAATGTATGAATAAAGTCAAAGTCGAGTCAGCTGTGTTTGCATCATCAATGAGACAAACCCATCAAACAGACGAAGCGAGGCTTCAACTTCAGGTTGGACGAGACGAAAACATCGAATCTCAGCTGATGAAGCAGCATAATGTTGCCTCTGTCCATTATCTCTGCTCAGAGACTGTGTGTGTGTGTGTGTGTGTGTCCCTGAGGATCAGAGTCGTTTCCTGCTCATTTTCAGGTTTAATGGCCAAAGGACAGGACGCAGGATCACTTTAAGACCCCAGAAGTCAATTATTTAGTATTTCCACAGTGAATGAGGAAGTGTCTTTGTGTGCATGTGCCTGTGTGTCTTAAAAAAAGGACGGCATAGGAGTTTCCTATTTCCTTACAAGAGATGAGACAGTTTTCAGATTCTGGTGTCCTCAACAGTTAAACTGAGACACGGGGCCCTCTGCAGCCGCTGAGACGGCCTGGACCGTGGACCGCAGAGCTGCGCGTCTCTGGGATGTAATGCGCCCGTATTATTTGAGTGGCATGTATAAACCTGTTAAAATAATGAACTGGAACTAGTGTGACCAGTTCGGCTGCATGCCAATCGGTGCACTCTACACAGTTTTTAACATGAAACTCAAAGGCTTGTTAGGCCAAAGTCCACAGTGTGTCCTCATGCACACACACACACACACACACACACACACACACAGTGCAGCGACACACTGATTGCTCAATCGAACACTTGACTTTCCAGACAGACAAGAAAGAAAGTGGTCTTTCACACTCTGCCTGGCTGACACACGGCTTCCTTTTGCACTCTTCATTTTCAATTCAAATCAGTTTCCAAAAAGACTAATTTCCATCATCTGTCCACAGGACTTATTCAGTCACTCAAATCTGTCAAAATCAACTAATCTGTCTCTCACACACACACGCACACACACATAGAAAACACGAGCCAGTGTTCAGTGAGTGTTCAGTGAGCCTCACAGAAGTCCAGTGTTGTGTGTCTGTGTCGCACCTGTGCCGTTGTAGCAGCAGCAGCAGCGGGAGAGGACCCATCCACAGCAACGGCCGACTCTCTTCATTCTTGCTCACACACACATCCTACACTCACACACAACCTCAGACACACCTCCCTCCAGTACGTCCGACTCGGTCGCTAACCAGTTCGTCAGCTTGTTCCTGGGCTGAGTGTGAATTTCAAGAGTTTCGAGTCCTCACTGCCCAGATTCAGCAAAGAGAGAGAGTTTTAGTAATGTGGGAGGAGGAGATGGGGGAGGAGCACATTCTCTGTCTCTCTCTCTCAGACAAAGTTGTTCAGTTTCTCCCTCTACCTCCCCTCCCCACACGCTTCGGCTCAAAGGAATACGAGTCCCTGTTAATTATTTGAGCGGGCACCTTCCTCGTTGTGGAGGGCAGGGACTCCACAAAGACACGGGAGTGTGTTTGATTCAACAATGTAGCAAAAACGTCTCTTTGCATTTAAAAAGACGAGACGGCTGCCTGGTATGTGAACATTCACCAGCAGCAAACAACATGTCCTGTACCTAAGTGACAGCAAAAGTTCCACTGACTCCTGACGTCCCAGTGCCTACAGTGTGGGAGTGTGTCCACTGACAGCACTCATCAGAACTGCAGAGGCTGCTGGCACAGCTAGAGCCAAGCAACTTTATTATTAAAATTAACTTGCATTTATTTTCTGATCTTCCTTAGTGGGTCCTCTGCATCTGAATGAGCAGAGGACTGTAAACAGCTTCCTGCTGTGTGTGCACTGCAGCAGGTAAGCACGCGCACTTAGCCTAGATAACGTGCTTTCACCAGCACCTTTTCCCTGCAGTGTCCCATTTTGTTCATCTTGTATATCTACTGTCGCTACGCAGCAAAAAGCAAAGAGAATGGAACGATGCTGCAGTAAAGTGCCAGTTAATTATTTTCAAAAAGCTTTCAGAAAATGGAGATAATCAAGACAACGTGACAGAGATATAAACTGTAATGTCCCCACGCTCTGTGTGTGACAGGACGACACGTTCATGAATGCTGTAAAATCTTAGGTACCTTAGACATTCAGTGTTCTTAAGGGCAAAATTAGTTCTCAGGAGAACTCAGTGTTTAAGATCAGTTCAAGGAATTTTCCAGGAATGGAGGAGTGCCCCAAAACAGTCTCTAATGTGATGCGTCGCAGCTCTCAGGTCCTCTGATGTCCAGCAGGTCTGACTTTCAGTTCAGTTAACATTAAACCCACACTTTCTTCACAGTCTTTCAGAGGACAAGGAGACCTACTTTACAGAGCAGTCACAAGACTCGAGACACACAGAGGGAAGCTTGAAACAGCTCGGCGGGACTTAAACGGGTTAATGAGCAGTTTTGACTGATTTATTAACAAACTGATGATTGTTAATGACAAATCCATCAGCTTGTGGCTGCTTTTAATTCTCCTACTGTGTAAGCAGACAGGTTCAGTTTAAGTCACATGATACAGGAGGAGTCTGCATTGGAGGCTGATGATATATTTGTCTGGACCTACTCTGGAAAAGTCAGCCCCACCGTCCTGGATGGGAGCGCCTCCTAAATGTGCTATATTTCCATGTGTAGCGGCTGCAGTTGGCCAATTTGCATCGCTCCGCACAAATACAAAGCGCCCTTGTCATTTTCTCGAAAGCAGGAAACACTGTGGCTGCAGCAGGCAAATCAGCTGATTCTGTGTCTGTGTGAGTGCAGAGCTAAGCTCCTCCGTGGTGTCCGCGAAGCTGGAAACAGACCGTCAGGAAGGACGGATATAGAAGGAAACCAAACTGCTGTGACTCAGTGCATTACTCCCATTTCTCCTCAGCACACACAGAGATAACCTGGGACAGATGCAGGAAGAAGGCATTCCAGCAGCTCCACTGCTCCCCCTGTAGGACACACATCAGACTGCAGGTGGAAGGATGGAAAGCTGCACCGACAGGATGCACAGGAGAGCTTCTTCAAATTTTGATGTTGCGTCCCACGGCTCACAGAATTTCACCGTCTTTGTTCTTGGCAAAGTTAATGGGATCATTTCATCATTCACATTATCAGTCATCTCATCTCTGTCAGACATTACTGCTCAAGTTCACAGCAGAGACAACAGGCAGGCTGCCACTGTGGGTTACAGCAGGACAGAACAGATGTTTGCTTCGCTTTTAGAGCCGTTACACATGCAGGATCATCCTGGATCATAAACGCACACACTTCAAATTCAGACATGGCAGTAACAGAGAAATGAAGAGCAGCATTTTGGAACGTGTTTGAATTACACTCACAAAAAACAATCAGTCAGTGAGCACACTTCCCCAAACGGGGTGTCAGAAACACCAGAGTGACTTTCCAAAACTAACAGGCACACTTTCCATGTTCCCTCCATGTGCTCGGGCTGTGTGACAGCCTTCTGTGAGAGCCACACCTCGCCCAACAAAAACAAAAGCACAGTTCTGCGCAGTATGACTAATGTCCTCATCTCACCAGCAGAGGTCAGCACAGACCAGCTGTGCCTCTGTCAGCCTGGTTAAATATAAAGACCAGTGAAGAAGATAACATGTCATTGTTTTAAATTTACTTTATTTTCTTTCCTTTTGCCACAGTGTTGCCAGGACTCACATATAAAGTTACCAAAACAAAAACTGTGCATAAAGACATGCAAGAGATTAAGAATTGAGGATAAGTAGGAGATTTAAGGCTGCTTAGAAGCTGATCACCCGATAGTGCATATTTAATGACAGATTTTTATCCTTCGTCTTGGTTCCTCCTCAAAAAGCATTGAATACGAAGATATGTGACTCGTCTTCCTACCTTTCCCTGAACTGAAGAAACAGTCCATCTCCACACTAGAACGTGAGTGGGAAACACAGAGGACAGACGTGGGAACCAGTCCCTCCTGCGGTGGGCTGCGGTCAGTGGTTCGGACTAGACACCATCCGGGCCGCTCACTGGGCCGCTCCAACAGCTCCACTGTCTGACCTGGAAGGTGGAGAAGATAAAAACTATACTACAAGGTATGGAAGACAGGTCGAAGATTTGAATACTAAATGTTAAAGAAAACAAAAACAGAAACTTGGATTTAGCTCAACCTAAAAGATGGATGAAGCCTCCACATCTGAAGACTGAAGCAGTGGTTGGCATTTAAGGCCTTTATCTCTGATTTTAAGTGTCACTGAATAAAGGATGAAGTTTATTTTTTCACTGATGGTCGGACTAAAATAAAACCACACAGCTGTTTCCTTTACATATTAAAATAACTGCCCAGAGCTTTCACCACAGTGAATCTGAATAACAGACTCGCGTCCCAGGAAGAGCTCATTAAGAAATGTGTTATGTGGACCTGTGTGTGTTGTATATAAAGTTTGTCCTTTAAGACACGTGAGCTCTGAGTGTGGGGGATTAAATCTATGTATGAATAAAACACACCTGTGCTGACAGACATCTCTGTGCCGCATCCTGCTGCAAAGTCCTGGAGAACGACAGTCAGCTCACATCCACCGGAGAGCTGCAAACAGACGACACGTGTCACACGTCAGATCATCAGCAGTTTAACAGTCGAGCTTCAAACTGAGCTGTGTTCAAAACACACGTTCTGTGCACAGTTTTCACTTTCAGGCATCTTATCTGCATTTAAGCTTCTGAAGAATCCGCTGCTGGTGTCAGAGAAAGAGAAATGTAATCCAACCCTGAGCCAGGACCAGCATCAATCCCTGTTTACACCATAAACAGCAAGAGGAACTGGAATTCAGGAAAAACAGGAAAAACCAGGACAACCACATCCAGTCCTGATCTTTCTTCTTTACATGCAGAGAGAAAGTCATGCAAGTTCCAGGCTAGCATCAGTTTCTGGTGTTAGAAAAGGGAAGGTTCTCCTTCCTGTTTATTATTGTGGAATAGACGGCGCAGAATGTGCACAAAGTCAGGAACAAGGTGCCACAGTCTGGCAGAGGCAGACTGTGGGGGGTGAAGAAGCTGGACCCAACACACGCAAAATAACAAGATGTAATATTAACTGAAAACGAGCCGTTTATTGAGGCTGATCTTAGCAAAGAAAAACTCAATCCGAACCTAAACTGGGCGAGCCAAACATAACAAAACATGAACACAGAGACCTGGCATGGACACAAGGTGGGACAGCAGACGCTCGGACCAGGCATGAATGAACACACACAGACCAACAGCACACAGGAGGTGAAGGGGAAGTGGAAACACATGGGGAAAACAGCTGACACAAATGAACATAATGACGTCACAGTAGAAGAGTAAAACTAAACACAATGAACACAGGAACACGTGACCTCTTCAAAATAAAACAGGAAACATAATGAGACAACAAATGACGCGCAGACATGAAACACAGGGGAGACTTAATACTGATCGTGACACAAGGTCAGAGAACTGCTCCGTGTAAAAACCTGAACCAAGGTTGTTCTCGTTAAAAGTCAAAGACCAGCTGTGCACTCATAGAATGAACTGAAATCAAATTAAACACACAGGAAATACATTTGTTTAGTTTCTGTTGTTTGTAGAGACCAACTAATCTAAAGTGGACTGAAACAAAACCTCAAAATGAAATAAGACTAAAAGCTGAAAGCAGCGACCTGAATGAACTGGACCAAACTGTGCGATGACTCACTGATACACTCAGTGTATCATAACTGTGTGAGCAAATTCTGCATCAACTACCAACGTCACGCAGTGGTTGTGTTATCAAAGTTAATAAATAACAGCAAAGTCATCCACAATTGGAGCCATAAAGTGTTCCCGAACCAGATTATTGCAGCGGCTTCATGAAGCTGATGTCGTGCTGCAACAAACCATAAATGGAAGACGAACTGCTCCTCGATTAAACGTCCGCTGCTGAACTGAAACCTGCTCATTAACAGACAGCTAGAAACAATCTGATCACTGCCAGAACTTAGTGACACTGTCATTATTCATATACTTCAAGGTGGCGAAACTCATCATTAAGAGTACGGGCGAAGAAAATGTTAGCTTTATGGGGGAAAGGTTCAGGAATATTTGACTCCTTAAAACTTTACAAGGTTAAATGGACTTGACTGCTACTCAGATGGATCCACTTTCAGGTTTCTGGGCTGATCTCACCTGGACCCACATCATCACCACCCTGGTTGCACTTCCTCCGTGTACTGAGGGACAACAACCTGCACCAGTAGCTGGTGCTGGTCCTGCACAGAGGGTAACTAACACCACCCAGAACATCAGTGTCTGCCCTCTGCCACCCCTGGAACATAATACATACACAATCCTTTTGTGTATGTGCAACAACTAGAGTCATGGTGCCACGACAATAACTTGGTCTTAA